GCAATATAACATGTAAATGAAATTGTTATATTGTTAGTTACTTTCTGGTTATAAGAAAATTACATTAATGTAACTTGGATGTAACATGTTACACAAGAAATGTTACATTTATGTAATTTTGATGTAATGTTACAATTTTCATATGCAATATATAACTATTTTAACATAGTTACATTGCATTGTTGCCACATACATGCCACTTATTGTTAATTGTACAGAATTAATTTGTAATTAAAAGCCGGTAAGTAAATTGATGATGAAACAAGTAGATAAATTTTGAATATTATATTTCTTATATCAGGATTAAATTGATTAAGATATCCTTTAAGAGGATAAGGATTTAAACTTTTGAATTACGCGGTCTATTGTGGCTGAACCAACATTCATCCAGATAACGGGTGCGTTCGGGGAGCACGCTACCATCGTTACCGCGTTGTTCTATCTTTATCGCTCCTTAGATATACAACAAGGATAGAATGACACGGTAGCACTAATAGCAAGCTCCCCGAACGCATCTAACGTGATGTGTAATAATGCGGTTTACATTCTTCTCCCTCATGGATTTGTGACACGTGAATAAAATAATATAGAAACGATTGTTATAATTTCAGGTAATTTGTTCTTATTTAATAAGTATAATTTATACTAAATAATTCTAAAATTATTGTTGTACATGCTATTACTATTGTACACTTTTTGTCGAAAAAGTTGTCTTATGTTTTCTTGTAAATTTCGAATCTCATCAGTCTTGTTTGATGAGAGAATCCTCTCATTGGGGAACATTTTCTTATTGCACAAGACGAATGAGTTTTGCAACTTACAAAATAAAATTGGATAACCTTTTCGTCGGTGAGTATAAATTTTTATGCAACTTAATCTTAAAATCTTTAACAGATTAACCATGTAACCTCTTAATATGGGTGTATATCAGTTGGACACGGGGCAATTGGACACAGTCCAATCACAAGTCGCTGTTCCAAGGGACCCTACAAATGTCTCTAATCACACGGTGCTGTGATTGGCTGTGTCCAAATGCACCGTGTCCAAGTGCACCGCTCCCCTTAATACACATAGACTCTTCCTTCATCTACGAGACTATTTTTTAATTAATAAAAATTAAATTTATTAAGAGTTTGTTTTTAACATAAGTTTTGACATCTCGTTGGAGTTCTTGTGCACAATAATGTTTATGACTTTATAAAAGTATTATTTATGTCTCATTGGTCTGAATTATGAAAAATAACTACAATTTTTGTATAATGTTGTACTATTGTATTAAATCATCAGAGCTCTTATCAGTAG